CCCCAAAACCCCAAAACCCCAAAACCCCAAAACCCCATAGCTAGTAATACTTCTATAAAACAGAGAAAAAATCACTTGATCTAATTTAATCCAATTAAATACCCAATGATAATAATTCAAATTCAATTAAATGTCATAGCCAAGGCATCCAGCCAATATACATTTTTGACAATGATTCATCATTAATTGCATGTAAAATCACAGTCTCGACTTGATCCTCCACTGAGACACTACCACCCTGGTCTCCTTTAATCTAGCCATATAGTTTCTATTTAACAACATCAAGAGCAGATTTAATCTCAACTTTAATGTTCTGAGTGCTTTCAATAAGTGGATCATGAATGAAAGAGTCCAAGAATGATATGATATTCTTAGCATTCTTTCTCAATACTCTCTCTACTACTTCGCAAGTTCTTTAGTAAACTCCTTTTTCTTTGAAAATTCCAAATGCATCCATTATGTTCTAAGTCAGTCTAAAGGGCACTATCTCTGGAATCTTAAGCTTTGCTCCTTTTTCAAATATACAGTCGAAATCAACATGGGTTACTTCTCCTGTATGCATATGAATTAGGATGTTATCACCATGTCTATCTCCTAGTCCAATTACATATCCAATCATAGACCAAATCGCAGTAGACCTAATGAAATTTATTCTGGCCTCATACCAAGTCTCGGGGCTAGGGAAATGATCAGCCATCCAGGTTCCTAAAACTGGTTTAATGTCTTCTTTAACATATTGCCAGATTTGAGTGTGAGTTTCTCCCATTTTAAGGCTGATAGCTTTTTGCTTAATATCCTACATTTCCCCCTTAATGTTGTTCTTTTTCCAATAATCGCCGACTATTGTTTTGAGAGTACTTGTATTCTAAATCCACTCGATTAATCCTGTATTTCTGCTTAGAGGAACTATCGCATTTGTTCGCAATCTAAGATTTCTTTTTCTACTCTCAGCGTCGTTCTCAAGCATTTTATTACAAAGTACTGCAAAATCAATAAATCTCTGTTCTTTTCTGAGATCGCCAAACTTATCACATTTAAGCAAGAAGTTATAGACTTATTTGTTAGACCCAATTATTCCTATCTTCTTTGGTTTTTCTTTAGACATCATAATTGTTGCTTCGTTCAAGAAACCAGCTATAAATACAGGATGCAGTTTATAGGCTGGGTATTCTTTTTAAGCATTTTTAGCTTCCTCCATTGCACTTTCATCATTCAAGTGCTGATGGTCAAAAGCATCCTTTGAATTTATAATTTCTGCATTAAACCTGTTTAGCTCTGTTATTTTCTAAGTCGTACTAACTAGGCAGCTTTACTTGAAATTAACTCTAAAGTTTTAAGGCGGCAGTTAAGGTGATAAATTTTCTTCAATTGGCATTACAAGACTGCTGGTTTAAACTTTTTGCAAAGCTTAGGGAAGTTCCATTGTTGTACTGTTTGGTTAAGGTGGACTTCTCTCTGATAGTTTCTTTAGCTCTAAGAAAATCTTTTCGCCTTCTATAATTTTTTTGTAAGCTTGCTCATCGAATCCCATAATTTTACCAAGTAATTATTTGGCAAAATCTGCTCTACTGATAGCTTAGAGTTTTGTAGATACTTAGTTCTTCTTTATTCCTGGTGCAGATTCTTATTCAAAGTGCAAGAAATGGAATATCCACCATGCGCATTGCCCAGGGAACTGAGCTGCCACCTTAGATAATACTAGAATAATGACTTCTCTTACTTGATCCTTAGGATGTCCATATCTTGAGAGTAGAATTTAAAGTACTGAAGCTAACTTGAATACTTCTAATTTGGCTAGTTCTTGTCTCATAAAATGATTAATTTTTTCTGAGTCTTGATCTTTTTCATTGTATTCAAACCACAATTCTAATGCTCTCGGGAAACTTTACCAAATATATTTATACCCATGCTTTAGACTATTGATATAGTAGAATATCTTCTAAATTTATCTCTTCCTCTAATCATTAAGATCGAGTGTACCTTAGTTAGGAGTTCCTATATTTTTATTATCCAACTCATCTAAGTACTAGGCATATCTAAAAACTGGCTTTTCCCAAGAATTCTTACCCATTATTTTTAGGAATTCATCAAATCTTTTAAGAATATTTTGGTTGTGAGGGTCCAGCTTAATCTATAGTTCAATACTTAATAATATAGCTTTCTCATATACTCTCTATGGCATCCAATTGAATTTGGTGCTCTTGTACATATTATCGCATTGCTACTTTATGCTCTCCTATGCCTAAATCAAATACTAATATGCTTCATGAGCATTTTTAGTTTTGAGCATATACTTCGCATATTCAAGGTCATAATCCACTATCATATGCTTATATTCCTAGCATTCTTTGAACAAAGAATTGATTAGCAGTATATCATTGCTAGTCTTTCTATAAATTTTAGCAAGTTTCATTAGATAGAAAGCATACTCATGCTCTCTATCGTAAAGTTTGAAAATCATTCTTCTTATATAGTATATTAGTTTAAGAGACTCAGTTGAACTTTGCAGCATTGATGATCTTTCTTCAAACCATGAGAGTAGTTTCTCGAAAATGTTTTTCATATCAAATTCATAGTACACCTTTTCAAATCTTCTCTTATCTCTATTAACTTCCTTTCTAATGATTTCTGAGATTTTATCTCTTTCTAAGAACATTGCATCTTTTAAGAAGTGGACTGCAGAGTCAAGCTCATAAATCACATGCAGATATAGTTTATACTGATAGGATATTTCTCCTTAAATTCCATCAAGACTGAGAATAAATTCACTGTATAAAAGATTGAAGAATTTATTGATTTTATCTAATGAGGCGAGATAATCAGGATTGTCAAATGTATCATCATTTCTTAAAAGACACTATAATCCTTTATGATACTCTCCAACAAAAATACTGATAAGCATTTCGAATTTCTGAATTGGATTATCTATTTCTCTTTCTAAAAATATCATATCTGAGTTAAACTAGGTGATATCTATTTCAGAAAGCCACTCTTGAACATATTCCCACTAACCATTTTTCCAGTATTCAATCAACTGAGTTTTCTCCATTAACTTATCAAATTTCTTGTTAAATTATTTTGAATCTACCTACGAAGCTTCTTCTTCAACTCTTTCCTCATCTACCATTTCCTAATCCTCTGATTAGTGTCTTCTTTTGGAGTAAACATCTTTTTCAGAAATCTAATTAAAAATTCCATAGTCAAAATCTTCAGGATTCAGTTGTCTATGAAAATTAACTATGTCAATAGTGTCATCAGGGGTAAGAATATCAAGGAAGCCTTTTTCACTTGATTTCACTGAAGTTTGTGTAGATCTGAAATGATCTTCAAAGCTATAAATACAGCGTTGGTAAGCTTTTACTTTTCTTGATGCCTTTATCTTTTTGATCTTGTCAATTTTGCTAAGTAAACCTTTAATTTTCTTTACTGCTAGAAATGATAGTTTTACATTGATATTACCATCAAGAACTTTGATAAAATTCATCACATTCTAGTCTTTGACTCTAGATATATCCATATCAATATGGAATAATTTCTCAACATACTTGAACTTAGTGTCATTCTCAATGAATGTCTTAAAGATTTTCTTATCTTATTGCAAGCATATTTTTAGAAAATCTTATACCCTCAGAGTTATTATTATCTATGTTATTCCATTTGAATCTAAAATCTTATTGAATAGATTTCCAATATCATCACATAATTTATCATCGACAGTGTTAAATCTTATTGCAAAGTATATTAGGTAAGGTAGTAATAATTCTAGCACTTGGTTGCTTGATTTTAATGCTGGAATGCATGCCTCAAATAGTTCTTGCCAAGATCTATCAGTTATTTTGTGAATGAGAAACAATGCCAGCCTCTTAATGTTAAATTTTGAGAAACCATTGGTGGGATCCTCAATAGTAGTGACTGGGTCTAGATCAAGCTTTATATATCTGTAAACTCCCTTAGATAGATTTTCCACCTTTGACAGTTTTTCTTTAATTTATTCATACTGATTTTAGTCTTGCTAGTTATTCGAAATTAGTTTTTGTGAGCAAATAAATCTATCTATCAGAAATTATGTGTAATAATAGACTTAGGGTTTCTGATCAGTAACATTAGTCATTGAAATAATCTTAAGCAGCAACTAGGATCCAAATTTAATTATGTCTTTTCTTTCTATAGGCAGTTCTAAAAATGATGGGAAAGCAAGTTACTCCAAGGTGTTATCCTGCTCTTGATTTTTGTATCTAAGATTAGTAAGAGGATTATAGTAGTCACTCCTAATAATATTTGGATTTTAGTCATCTCCTTACTTTTGGATTTCCTATTCTTTCTTTCCTACCAATGTCATTTGATTAGTGGCTTTTAAGCTCTTTGGGTCATTGACAAAAGTTTAGCATATTCCGATCGCAGCAATTACTTTAGCACTTAAAATGGATAGCTTAATACTTTTCTCTGTTTTATAGCCTTAAGTTATCTCCAAGACTCCTTAGTAAACAATTTTCAAGTTTTCTGGTTAAATTAAAACATTTCTAACTTCCTAGCTACCTTGATTTTCCAATAGCTCAAGAATATAAGTAGTGTTCAATAGTCTTATATCCTCATTGCCATATTTAAATTATTCCACTAGACTTTTCAAGCTTGTTTCAATATTCTCGATTGAGCCATAGAGCTCAGAACTAATGATAGCTACTGATTCATGAAGAGCAGAAATTTCTGATAGTTTACTGAGCAGTAAAAATTGAAATTCCTTGAAATATGACTTAGTAATTTTTGTTTTTTCCTTTACATAGAAACCTACAATCTTGCTAGTATATTTCTTAATTTTCGATTTCTATGGAAATTTCATATATGCTAGAACAGCTAATGAGAAAAATCTACTTAGGTAAGGAGAAGCTTATCGCAAACCAATAGCATTCAATAAAATTTGCATTGAAAATATAGATATTTCCACAGTATCTTGATATTCGATACCTAGCTTTAGGACGTAGATTGTCATCATTATGAGAGCTTGTTGGAAATACTCCTCATCAACCATTGTTTTCATCAGCAAATCAACTGTTGTTATGAATTGAATTAGCTTATTTTATCTTATCATTGGTTCATTCTCTGCAGTTATATATGCAGGATAATTAGTTTTGAAAGTCTCCAAAAAGCTAATGATAAAATCTGATTTTGCGAGAGCGCTGCATTTCTTTAATTCTTTGTTGATGAATTCCAAAGCATCTTAAAATCTTTAAATCTTCTTTTATGCCTAAGTACCTTTTTTATTGTAAAATTCTTGGTTTTAAAATTGCTTTCTGTCAAATTACCTTAGCGTCTTAGCTTTTTCATTTCTTCTCATAAGTTTTTCAAGGTAATATTTCTTTCCATATGATAGTTTTTTCATTAAGGTCGATAATAGTCTTGTCTCAAAAGTTGCTGCTGCTTAATTTTCTTTATATTTTATGAAACTATTTATTAGGTCAATCAGTTCTTAGTCATCTTTGAATGAGAAGGTATTTTTCATCATCACAAGTAGATTCTTTTTCTGGCTATATTGTAACTTATCATTAAATGCAATTTTTGCAATACATTCATAGAGATTTTCCCTGATTCTTCTAAGGTCTAGCTTGGCATTATACCATTTATACTCTAGTAAAGTCTTTTAAAGTTAGTCAAATGTTATTCCCTTCTCTGAGATAAGGAAATACCAGGATCTAGGTAGAATATTTTGAAGGTAAAAATTGACACCCATAAAGTATTCAATGGCAGAAACTGCATCTCCATTTTAGATCAGAATATAAGTAATTTTGCCACAAATTTCGCTTGGGCAATTTATGAGTAAATCTTAGATAGATATCCTGAGAGTCTTTGCAAGATCATGGCATAACTTAAATTTCTAAACAATGCAATCGATTTATCTTTCGCGATCCTTTTATAAATCAACAACATCACTGACAACAAATATAACCCCGAGCATGTGGTAAACTTAAGCCACAGATCTTTTATTTCTACCCATCATTCTTATAATTTTTAGAATATCTAAGTATCTTTCCACATCATATGTAGGATTTGCATCTTAAAGGTTTAAGATTTCAAGGTCCTCGAGGAATAGTTGAAAGTCTAGGTTAACAAGCTTCAATTGTGCTTATTATTCAGCCTATTTCTTAGATTCCATATACTGATTAGTTTATAATTTTGATTATTGCGGTATTTAAAGCAAAATATTAATAACGAATATTCAAAATCAAAATTTAAATCTAATTACTAGCTAAATCAATTAATAGTCAAAAGTTAATATAGCATTCAATTCATCACCACATCATCACTTATTAAGTTTTGAGACTTTAATAGATTCATTCTTTGTAAGTCGATCTGCTCTTTAGTTACTTTTTCATGATCGAATATGTACTAATAGGCTTGAATTGAAATTGTATCTAGTAAGACAAGAGAACCAGTTTCTCTAAACTTTGGAATGCTCAAAATCTTAATAAACTTCTTTTGCTCATCTGTCTAATATTCATCAACAATTAGCTTTTATTGGAATACATCTTGATTCCCACTAAAATAAACTTGAGGGATTTCTTAAATCACAAATGGATCATTTTCAACAAAGGGATATGATCTCAGAGTATCTGGACAAGTAGGGCACAAATGTCTAATTTTCAAAGTTAGCTCCATGATTTCAGTTGGGTCCTAATAATTAGTATATCTCTATATATCTTTGATATTTTAACCAGAAGTTCCCACAAAATTTAAGCCTTCAAGCTTAAATTTATTAGGGTTAGTTATTAGATTTACATTCCTTTTAGTTTATAAAAGTTTGGTAAAGAGAGATGAATGTAGTGGCTGTTGTGGCATGAGTCCACTACAAAAATCTTAATCACCTGGCATCACATCCACGTCGATAAACTAGCAGGTCTAGTCTAAAAATGTTTCAAATTTGTCTGTAACATCAAAAAGTTATTAATAAACTCGACTATTTAAATCTTGAGTTCTAAATGATCCTCTATTTACCAGATCTTAATCATTTACTAGCTAAATAT